GCCCATATTCTAAAAAGTTTACGCACACCGCACAAATGGCCATAGCATTAGCTCTTTGAGCCTGTGGCTCAAAGAGCTAATAAAAAAAGAACGTTGATGCAGTTGAATATCTCTAGTCAATGTGCATCATCAAATGAAGTTTGATAAAATACTTTGATTAGTTTCTTGGAAACTAAATGTGCACAACTTTTTTTTCTAAAAATGAGATTAACGTTATGGTATAAACAGGAAAAGTAAAAAAATGTTGATGAAATTGAATGACTCTCATCAATATGGAATTGACAAAAATCTTGAAAGTAGTGCACTTGTATTGAAATTGGACCAAAACTGCAAGAGGTCTAATTAGCATTTTGAAAAGTTGTTTACAGATGGAGAGGATGGAACCCTTACTTTTGACAGTAGGCCTAGGAGTTAAATATTCTGGCATTTTTTGTGTGACAAAATCTGTGTACTGGGGGAGGGGGAGGGGTTCCTCTTGTCCACAAGTACCTGAGGACCCAATATCATACATACTTCATTCAAAAACTGGCCATATGTGCAGATACATTGAAACTCGAATCAAGTTTCCAGGTTATGAATTTATTTTGAACAAATTTAATTATTCACAAAACAGGTGAAAATACTTATAATGTAAGTTATTGTTGTCATACTTTTTGAGAAAAATAAATTTTCTTTTCATGTATACTAATATCAGATTCCTCATTTAAAATCGAACCCTTCTAGGCATGGATGGGGTAATTGAATAAAGTAATTGTAATTGAATGTAATTAATTACATTTTTCAAAGTAATTGGAAGTAATTTGTATTTGAGCTAGCCTTCAATTACAAGTAATTGAATGTATTTAAATACAGTTCAAACGAGCTAATCTTTGTCCCAGGGATCAAAATTCATCCACGCCACATGGGGACAGTTTAGCAAAGATAGTCCCCATGTTCTTTTTACTTTTTTTTAAAAAAACTTCATTCTCTGTATATCTTGCATTTTATTATTTTGTCTCCTTACCTAGACAATGGGGCTGTGATTTAACAAACCTGATTCTTAGTAACACTGTATGAAGTTATTTATTTATTTATACAAAAGTTTTGTATCCCTCCTTTCACTGTAAAAATTCTCTCTTATAACATTAGATAAACCTATTAGATTTTGTTCTTCTTTAATGCATTTAAGAGGAAGTCCGCCGAAAAACCAGGCAGGGTTGTATTAATAGGCGGCACATCGAATGTGACGAATATTTGAAATTTTATTGAAAACAATATCAATGTAGTCCAAATGGAATAATGTAATCGAAGATTTGTTTTAAAATTGCTTATTTAGTAAAATATCCTTTTGTTTCGTGTTCTTGAATTCCCCTATATAAACCATTGAATTTAGGTCAGAAACAACGAACTGTAATTTCCAATACTTATTTAACAGGACTATAATTCACGCTGAACTAAATCTAGAAATATTTTGTCTTTCAGTTTCAAAAATAAAATTGGTGGGCAAAACACTTTTGATAGTAGTTTTCTGTCAAAATATATAGACGTTTTTATGAAATTTTGCGATGTAAGAGTTATCTCCCGTGGCATCGGTAAATCTGCTGAACACCGTACTATCGAAATCCTAGTGAAATATTTAGAATATATACACAAAATAAAATTATTTAACAAAAAATTACTACTTTATTTTCAAAATAGAATTCATTTTCGCCTCCAAACGTAATATTTAGATTAAGATTGGCAGTATTATTCAGGTTGAATCCACGTTTCCAATGATGTATCAGTGACGTCATATACCTGACTAATATTGCGTCACAATTAAATAATTACAGTTTTCCAAAGAAGTTCGTAAATGCTTTGCATAAAAGCGCAAATAAAACGATAAAAAATAAATAATTTCTCTTTTTCTGTTCAATTACTCTTCAGAGTGCATTATCCTACATGTTAAATAATCGTATATTTTTATATATGAAATGTATTTTTTTTCACGGGCGACGTCTCAGCTAGAAGTCCCTTTTGAAAAGTAATTTTGTACATGTCCGAGAACTAATTTTTTAAACTGATTTACTAGGCTATGCGTACAAATAATTAATTGTTTATATTGAATATTTCCTATAAAATTGGGATGTGAAGAGATTTTATTTTCTCCTGATTACCAAGGACAGATGAATATTTTAGATTTACGCAACATTTAATTCAAGTCAACGGAGTTGAGATATTTATTTCATGATATTTGTACACACACACACACACACCCTCACACACACACAAAAAAAAAACAAAAAAAAAAAACACTTGATTATACTTATCTATGCAGTCAAACCAAAGTAAACGATCCGCGGTACGATTTAAAATATTTTATTGAAAAAGTGAAAAATAAGATTTAAAAAATATTTATTGAGGAAAATTACTGTTGAACTCCCCACTTAAACGGAAGATTTCGTGGGCGTATTTTTTGTTTTGTATTGTTTTTGTTTGGTTTTTTTTTTTGGTTAAATTTGGTGATTGAAACAATCACATACTCACATTCAATATGAAGTTAAAAAATGTGACCATGTTGGCCAATTCTAAAATATTTTTCCCATTAATGAAAGTTTTTTTTTAATATGCCGCCTTGCCCCCCCCCCCCCCCCACCCTCACCCCGTCCCGGCTTTTTGCTTGCGATTTCTAGGCTCTTAAATCATAATACTATATATGAAATAACTTATTTTCTTATTAATATAAAATTAAATTTTATAAGATGAAAATATAGAGGAAACGGCTTTTATAGATGACAGGTTTAAAAAAATTGGATAAAGCTGAGACTGTGCACATTTAAATATTTTCTGCATTTAGGTAGTGCAAGTATATTTTCGCCAATGATAGAATTGAACTCTTTAATTCACGAGAGAATGAAAAAAACTTTAGTTGGAAATAAGATATTTAATAAAGATAAGCTGTTTACTCTCATTTGTTGCATAATGCATGTACAAATACTTGTTTTTTAATACCGAGTATCAAGAAATCGTACAGATGTTATACATGATTGTAATCTTCATGTACGTAAAAGACATTAGTATTTTAAATAAATTGTATAAACATTTGAATCCATGGATAAATTAATTTTAAAACAGTTGACTAACTGAACAGAAATAAAAGACAAGAATATTTTTTTCTGATACATTAAACAAATGCAGAATATTTCTAGTTTTATGGTAAAAACCGATCCCGATTGAAATAAAACCGATCCCGATTGAAAATAATGCAAAATGTGTAAAGTTATAAAACTAAAGACAACTGCCGCCCATAAGACATGTACAAAAATAAATTAAGTAATTTTTTGGCCATATTACAACAAAAGAGCCAAATTTAACATTACAATTATAGTATTTCCTTCTTTATATAATTCCGGTCGGGATCGGTTTAATTGTGAAAAATTGTAAAACATAGGTAAATTTGACTCCTTTTATTTCTCTCAATATAAGGGTGCCCACTGATTTTATTGAGTGACTCAAAAGTTTGTACTTTGTATTCATAATAACATGAGAAAAAAAATATGTCATTGAAATGTATTGGGTTTTATAACGTAATGAAAATTGGATAATGAATTCAAAAAGTTACTTGCTAATCTCAATTTTGGACCACATATTTTTTTCTAAAGAAATATAAATTGGAGTCTTATTCATCACTAAAATCAAAGATAAGAGTCTATGGTATAAATAATATTGATAGACACATCCAGGTTTTGCGCATCTGGTACATATAAAACAAAATAAAAACATAGTAATTTTTTTTACCCCCATGTTGACCTTTTTGCACTTGAAATTGAGCAATTACCAAAAATAGGACTAGTGGAGCACTAAAATTTCTTTTGATGTTGTCATGTGTAAACACTTGCTTAAATAAGTCTATATGCAAAAAATAATAAAAATCCATGACATGCGATGTGCCACCCATTGCCTGATTTTCAGTGGACTACCTCTTAAAAAGACACTTTTCAATTGGATAGTTTATTCTAGCCTTTGGCTCATGCAAGCTAAAAATCTGAACAATTGATCTGCAATTCTTGTTTTCATTACTTATAATTTCAATAGATTTTCAGATTTAAGCATTATATTTCCTGCTATAAGAAATTCATCATAACACTATTATGACAGAAATATCTATGCTCAAATTGAGTATCCAATATTTAAGAATTACTCAAGTTTGAAGATACATGTATAAATGAACATTATCTTGAATGCCAAGACAGACAGGAAGTAAGTATACTGTACTGAAACAAGAGGCCTAAGGGCCTTGAATCGCTCTTCTGATAAATTGTACAATCTATCACTTCTATTAGAAGCCTCCAACTCTATTAGTATCATAAGACCCCAAATGCATCAACTTACAAAGTTTGATAATATTTAGCCAGTTAAGACTGAAGATATTATAATATAATTATCAAAATACCATAAGTAGGTCAAAGTGACCTACCTTTTGATTGAAATTTTCTGAGGACTCAAGATACATTAATTGACAAAGACTGATGATTCCAATTAAATAAGTACCTGAGATATTCAAAAGTAGGTCACCATAACCTACTTTTTGGTCAACATTCTCTGAAAACCCAAGATGCATCATCTGACAAAGTTTGACAATTCTAAGCCAATTAGTTCCAGAGATAATTAAATATAGCCATCAAATGTCAAAAGTAGGTCACGGTGACCTACTTTTTGGACGCCGTTATCCAAACATCCAAGATGCCTAAACTGAGAAAATTTGCTGATTCTAAGCCAATAAGTACCTGAGATATTCAAAAGTAGGTCACCATGACCTACTTCTTGTTGGACATTCAGTGAAACCGTAAGATGCCTCAACTGACAAAGTTTGATGATTCCGAGCCAATAAGTACCAGATATAATCAAATATAGCCAAAAAATGTCAAAAGTAGGTCACAGTGACCTACTTTTTTGTCCACGTTCTCCGAAAACCCAAGATGCCTAAACTGAGAAAATTTGCTGATTCTAAGCCAATAAGTACCTGAGATATTCAAAAGTAGGTCACAGTGACCTACTTTTTGGTTGACGTTCTCCGAAAACCCAAGGTGCCTAAACTGACAAAGTTTGATGATTCTAAGCTAATACGTACCTGAGATATTCAAAAGTAGGTCACTGTGACCTACTTTTTGGTCGACATTCTCCGAAAACCCAAGATGCATCATCTGACAAAGTTTGATGATTTTAGGTCAATAAGTACCAGAGATACTTAATTATAGCCACAAAATGTCAAAAGTAGGTCACTATGACCTACTTTTTGGTCGTCACTCTCCGAAAACCCAAGATGCATCAACGCACAAAGTTTGATGATTCTAAGCCAATAAGTACCGCAGATACTTAAATAAAGCCATAAAATGTCAAAAGTAGGTCACCATGACCTACTTTTTGGTCGTCACTCTCTGAAAACTAAATATGCATCAACTCACAAAGTTTGATGATTCTAAGCCAATAAGTACCGGAGATACTTAAATAAAGTCACAAAATGTCAAAAGAAGGTCACCATGACCTACTTTTTGGTCGTCACTCTCCGAAAACTAAATATGCATCAACTCACAAAGTTTGATGATTCTAAGCCAATAAGTACCGGAGATACTTAAATAAAGCCATAAAATGTCAAAAGTAGGTCACCATGACCTAATTTTTGGTCATCACTCTCCGAAAACTAAATATGCATCCACTCACAAAGTTTGATGATTCTAAGCCAATAAATGCCTAAGATACTGAAATATAGCCATAAAATGTCGAAAGTAGGTCATCGTGACCTACATTTTGGTTAACATTTTTCAAAGACCCAAGATGCATCTACTGACCAAATTTGATGATCGTAGGTCTGAAGGTAATCAAAATATGCATTTTAAACAATTTGAAAACAAATGTCGGCAAAATTCAAAAAGTAGGTCACAGTGATCTACTTTGTTATAAATATGTTTTAAGGTCCCTAGATGCATCAAAGTACAAGATTTGATGATTCTAAACCTTCCAGTATCTGAAATATTGGGATTTAATGTTTTTAAAAGGATAAGTCATAAAGTTCAAAAAGTAGGTCACAGTGACCTACTTTTAAGTTGACATTGTTCAAGGACCCAAGATGCATCAACTGACAAAGTTTGATGATCATAGGCCTTAAAGTGTCCAAAATATGCCTTCAAATCAATTTGAAAACAAATCCCCGCAAAATTTAAAAAGTAGGTCACCGTGACCTACTTTTGAGTTAACATGATGTGAAGTCGTAAGATGCATCAACTTACAAGATTTGATGATTCTAGTCCTTATAGTAAGAAAAATATACACGTTTTTATTAATTGTAAATTTAGGTCAACTTTGAAGTGACCTTGAGACCACGCCCTTTGCCCCAGGGTCATGCCTTGAACAATTTTTAATCTTCAACATATCCTGATCCTTGTATGTAAGTTTGGTGAAAATCTGCCTGGTGGTTCTGGAGAAGAAGATTTTTTAGCAACCAGTACTTTTAGTTTTGTTTTCCTGATTATCTCCCCTTGTTTTAGGGTCCCAACCCTTATTTTAGTATAAATGGTAGCCCTTGGGCCAAGGATACCCTGTGACAAATTTGGTACTGATTGGCCAAGGGGTTCTTGAGTTATGGCCCATATTCTAAAAAGTTAACGCACACCGCACAAATGGCCATAGCATTAGCTCTTTGAGCCTTTGGCTCAGAAGAGCTAAAAATGTTAATATATGTGTATGAGGAGATTGACAGATCTCTTAATGAAGCACTTCCAAAAAGAAGAGTACAGTCAATATAATGTAAGTGTTGCAAGGAAATAATTGACCAATTCTGTCCATATAAGGAGGCTGAAAAATCAATCCTCTCTTTCTTTCCGTCTTAGAAAAGCAGGGAAACTCCACTATAGTTGGGCTCTTTGGACATCTATTGATGAAGCGAGACTCTGGCAGCTTGGCATCCACAACTGTCCTGCTTAAGGATGCACACAGAGGTGCAGTGTGTTAAAAAGAGGTTCATTTAATGTCTTCAGTCCCCTTTTCTGTAATTTCTAACATGATCTTCCCACCTGTTGCCTGTCAAAAACATTAGATTCAGTTGAAAACATCACATGCAATAAACAATAAACATGCAATATGCAGTAGGAATGTCAGTGAATATTTGAATATTCATTTGAAGGGTTGAAATTCAAATATTCTGAATTTTCATATTTCTTTATACATGTATTCTGCTGAGAAAAAATGATTAATCTTATTTATTTAATTTAAGTAATTAAATGCATAGTAGATATCTTACCGACTTTGAACTTTTCACCAACACCACCTCTCTAACATTTGGTTTCTGGTCCCTGGCAAGTGAGAGGAGCAGTCTATTGTGGGGGACATGTGACCAAGTCTTACCCAGGCTGACTTTTCCATCCCCTGTTACATTGTTAACAATCTGAATAAAGGAAGAAGAAAATTAGATATCATCGATATTATAAGGATAAAAAAAACATTCCAAAAACAATGGAAAGACAATCGGTTAATTCCACCTTAAAGGTGATTTTCTTAAGGATCGGTTTTGCTTTTATCACTTTTGAACACCTCCTCTAAAAGCATATTTAGTTGTTCGAATTAAAGAATATTTGATAAAATTAATAATGTACAGAATTAAATGTGTGCATTTGTCTTGCATGCTGTATATGAGTAGCTTTTATGTTTTACATGTAACTCATTCCACTTTCATTTGATTTGTTGACTGTAAGCCAACATGGTGATGTTACATTTAATACTTATTAAAAAAGACTTTTTTGTGGTTGTTGGAAAAGAGCATACCAGTACAGCTAAGCTGAAGTCTGCAGCCAAACGCTTGATTTTCAGAGAGAGCTGAACCATAAGACCGTGTCCTGAAAAGAATTATCAGAAAAATTTTAAGTGAGAATAGTGATTGAAATGTACATACATCATAAACTAAAGACAAACTTAAAACAGTTAATTTTGTCTCAAAGATTTTTTAAAGACCCTTTTCTATACACTAATGCATGTTTTTCGGACTTAAAGAACATTATGTTATATAGAGGTATAAAGTACTGATGTTTATCTATAATTTTCGATATATATCTCTTACCATCCATCTGCTGTCCACCCAGGGAGGGGTAGATAACTGCTGTAACACTGTCCACAATGATCAGCTTGACCAGATCATAAAATGGGTCATCCTGTGTAATCAAGTACATGTATAACAATGTTTACCTGACATCAAAGGGTACAGTAGCTTTAACAATTCATCACAAATTCATTTTTATTTTCTGGCTCATGAATAGGAAAATGGGAAAAAAATACTACCTTTTTAATCATATTTTCCTTAACTGTTTCCAATGCTGAAATAAGTTGAAATATGTCATGTGCCTCCACAACTTTCACTGACTGCAGGATATGCTCTAACTGCTTCAAAAACATTACAACCAAATAACAAGCCTAAAACAAACTTATGTCAGTACATCAAATAGCTAAAAGATATTTAAATCTAATATGTGTACATGTAACTTTACAATAGTAAAGTGATATGGTTATATAATTTTGTATTCTGTTTCTGTCAATGATATAATAAACAAGAGGCCCATGGGCCTTATAGGTCACCTGAGCATCATGCAACAACTTTACAATGATTGACATTGGTTCATGTTTTAAACTAGACACCATGGCATTCACTATTTTGAAAAAGACATCATAACTATACACTTAGCATGTTTAGTTTGGTTACTTAATACCCACAGACAGAGTAGAGGAACAAAAAATGCATTTCGACTAATCAGTAATATTCAGCAATAATCAATATAGTGCCACTACCATACCCTTGGTCCACACATTTCACAATTTTGGAAAAGGCACCCTTGCTTATCAAAAATATTTGATTAATACAAAGTAGAAGGTTTCAATCAATTAATTCATTTTCAGTATATAAATAGAGCCCCCCACCACCCTCTATGGTACCCCTGACCCAGGGGTGTGGAAATTCACAATTCAGGAAGAATGGCCCTTGCTCATCATAGCTATATAGGTAGTTCATCTGCTTAATCCCCAGGAGCAGAGAAGAAGATTTTCAAACAATTTTTGCATTTTCTCTATATAACCAATAGAGCCCTGCCCTAACAATAGAACCCCTGACCCTGGGGCCATAAAATTCACAAAGGCATTCTTCCTCATCATGACTATGTACTTATTGAGTTTATTTAATACCCAGGAACAGAGAAGAAGATTTTAAAAGAAATAATGTATTATGTATAATATACCCAGGAGTAGAGAAGAAGATTTTCAAAGAATTAATGTACTTTCACTATAATATGATCAATAGAGCCCCACCCTAACACCAGAACCCCTGACCCTGGGGCCATAAAAATTCACAATTTTGGAAGAGACATTCTTCCTCATCATAACTATATCTTTTGTTAATTTATTTAATACTCAGGAGTAGAGAAGGAGATTTTCAAATAATTAATGTACTTTCTCTATATAATCAATAGAGCCCCACCCTAACACCAGAACCCCTGACCCTGGGGCCATAAAATTCACAATTTTGGAAGAGGCATTCTTGCTCATCATAACTATATACTTAGTTAATTCTTTGAATACCCAGAAGCAGAGAAGAAGATTTTCAAACAAATTCTGCATTTTCTCTATATAATCAATAGAGCCCCCCCCCTTACACTAGAACCCCTGACCCTGGGGCCATGAAATTCACAATTTTACAAAAGGCATTCTTTCTCATCATAATTACGTCTTTAGTTAGTTTATTTAATACCCAGGAGCAGAGAAGAAGATTTTTAAAGAAATAATGCATTTTCACTATATAATCAATAGAGCCCCACCCTAACACCGGAACCCCTGACCCTGGGGCCATATAATTCACAATTTTGGAAGAGGCATTCTTCCTCATCACAACTATATACTTAGTTAATTCGTTGAATACCAAGCAGCAGAGAAGAAGATTTTCAAACAATTTCTGCATTTTCTCTATATAATCAATAGACCCCCACCCTAACACCAGAACACCCTGACCCTGGGGCCATAAATTTCACAATTTTGGTAGAGGACTCAATGGTCATTACATTCATGCTAACAGTTTGACTGCTTGATGTCCAGGAGTAAAGAAGAAGATTTTTAAAGATTGCACTAATTTTAGTGGTTTTGGCCCCACCCCACAGGTCCCAGGGGGGCAGGGACCATGAAATTCACAATTTTTGTTCCCCTTCACCCATAGATGCTTTGTGTAAAATTTGGTGGAAATTGGTTGAGTGGTTGCAGAGAAGAAGCTGAAAATGTTCAAATGTTAACACACGACGCACGACGAACGACGCACGACGACGGACGAAAACGGATAGCAATAGGTCACCTGAGTTTATAGTGGTTATCACAAACTGCTAAAAAACTTCAAAATATTAGGCTACACAGTTATAACTATCATGCCGAGTTCAGTGTGTGAAACTAGTAAACAAAATTTTTCTTTCAAATGAAAAATCATTCTATACATTCTGAAAGCATGCCTTTCAATGTTGTGGAGAAGCGATAACAATGACATAAGCTTGTGAATTTAGAAGGTAATACTCTTACTTCCTCTCCGTACTGAGCCTCAGCGATTCCTGCAAGTCTGTCCGCAGAGAACCCGCCACACGTGTCAATGTACACAATATTCTGCTTCGCTGTACTCACCGCGGAAACACAGCAACTCAGGCAAAACTAGGAGACAAATTTGTTTATTTCCTTAATGTAAATCAATGGCATTTATAAAACACATTTTGATTGGTCAATTTACTGGTGTTTGAGGCATCAGAATGATCAATTATGAAAGTGAAAGCTTTTGATTTTGACGTCACAATTTACAGCAAAACAAAAACACAACACCCTGTGACATATTTCATGTTGCAAAACTAACAAAATAAGAAGTGAACGTTGAACAAATGCATAAATTGCAAAATAAGAAGAGAACAACTATCGTCTTTTTTGGTATTTGCGACCATTTCTGCTAATTTAACGGTTGTAAATATCTATTTTACTGGCTCCGCATTAACGGTTGCAAATAACAAATCAGAAAATATAAATGTAGTCATTCCCCTATTCAATCATAGCGGCTGCCAATTTTGACCACGGCACAGCATTTTATACATATTTTTTATTCTTTTAAAATGCACATGTGTATAATCACAAATATACCTATGTATTGTAATGTAATTGTATCACAATATAAAATACAGTTTGTGTGTTATTCAGTGCCCTGTCTTACCTGTGTTTTACCTGACGATATTTCCCCAGCTACTTCTGTAATTTCTGACGAGTACAGTCCACCTTCCAGCAATTCATTTAACCTAAAATGAAATCGACAATGAAGTTTTCAAAATAAAACAAATGTCTTTTTTAACAGACCATATAACTCACAAAAATGTTAAGAAACTCATTCAACTATATGAAGAAAATTTTCTGAGTGAAATGCATGTCTACACCACATATTTCAATTAAGATTCTAAAATATCTTATTGTGGTGGTCAGCCGTATTCAATTCCTGGTGGCCAGATTGCTCAGTCGGTAGAGCACCTGACCGGAGATTCAGGTTCGAATCCTGGTCTGGTCCACTGCATTTTTCTCCTCTCCCCTATCATTTAATGACAGGTGAGAGGCCTGCCAGGGATGAGCCTGGGTTAGGGTCTTTGAGGGACGAATCTAGGTATGGTATGCCACATTTTTCTCTTCTCCCATTAAATTATCAAATAGAATATAACACATCAGAAATCTACCTTAATCCCTGGGGACACTGCCTGTATGTTTTGACAATTTTTTTGTTTTTAATTTTAAGCATACAGTTACACTAAATTTTGGTCACAATTAGCATATGACATCTTACACCACTTCACTTAGTATGCTCATTTTGTAAAAACTTATACCTCACACATTCAACAGGTGCCAATGTGTTTTTCTTTTTTTTTTTTTACATACATCAGCAATGAGCATATTTTGACATGTTCAATGTTGATACAATATATCACCATTTGATAGCCTATAAATTACTTATTAACTGGTGTTGGTATGATAGATGATGAGGCAATGGCTGTCTGATAGAAGTCCGCACAATTCACTGGGAATGTAGAAAACTGGGCCAGTAGAAGTCTTCTGATGACTACAAGATCCTGTAAACAAAATATCAATTATAAGAAACTTAAACATGTTAAAGCAACAATATATTAATTATTATTAAGCTATAAAATGTACCCAATAAATGTTACCACTTAACACTAATGGGCAGGATGTGTTACACTGTATCTAGCATAAGCATGTAAAAAAAAATAATTATACATTTACTTTACTATAAACATATATTCTAAGTATAGCAGATGCATTTTTTTAACAATTAGGATGGGGAGTGCATATGACCTGATGACATCGAGCAACTGTTGAACAAAATGTTCAATATAATACGATATTTTACAATGCAATGATAAACATGTATATTATATCAAAAAGTTTTGTAAATCATTAAATGCATAAGTTTGATAAAAAGTTAGTGTTTTATAACTCAATCATACATCATAATACACATGTATCTGGCACATAACGTACAATGTAGATGTACATGCCTTATACGGTATCGTAGTCTCTTGAGCAATATGTTCCATGTCCATCCTTACAAAATCCACAACTGTTTTAATACCTGCTGATTTAAGTTTACCAGCAACATCTTCTGTTATGTGCGAACATAGATTCTTGCGAATGGCAGACATTTTGTTTTTTGGCGCCAAATTAGTTTTGTCACGTTCGGTTGGAAAATCGAATTCCGGTGTAGTCCTGGTGCCCGACTAAGACCAAAAAAACTTAGTTGATTGTGAAATTTTGCAATAATTTACGGATTCTGTTTAAGAACTCTAGCATACAAATATCTTACTACACATCTTTTTAAAAGATTAACATCACTTTCAATATAATCTAAAAGATCATAGTTATAAAAGCATAATTAATTTTAAGAAGTGGTATTCTTGTAGCCGAATCAGAAAGGATTAGTTATTGTAGCATAAAGGGAAGGTGAGATCCAGAGACGGGCCCATGGAATGCAGGGACACCCCCCCCCCCATTTATCCGAGTATAGTATTTTACTACGGTTAAGTTTCCTTTATATGCTTGTTGCCCCATAAGTTCAACCACAGACAAATTCCTATATCATTAAGGTTTTATGTGTATATTATTGCTGGTCAATTTTTTTGGAAGCCTCCCTCCCTCCACACACACTTTTGAAACAATTGCTACGGGCCTGAGATGTGTAAAATATTAAATTTTATGTAATGCAATTATAATTTAATTTTTGATAAATAAAATTTAGTTGAAATTAATAAGTCTAAAACAAAATAGTAATCGAGATCGGGGTGTTAATTATGATAATATAATAACCTTTAATGCACTGAATCATGAATCTTGCTCTTCCTTGTCAAAATATCGTTATATACAAAAATATAAATATTTGGGACAAATGTTGCAATATTATTTTATAAAACTCTTTAATCATTTGTATTTACATAAATAAACAGTCTAATTATATTTTACATATACACTTTTTTCTATAGTACTCTGAAGTACTCTATCGTGCCCTGTTCTTTTCTATATATGTCCCTGCTTTCAAAGCAGTTTACAATGCAAGTTAATAAATTAATTTTTAAGGGTTTTTACATTTTTGGTATAATAAAAATAGTAAAAATATCTAATGGTTTATTTTTGAAAATTAAAGAACATTTCAGAGAACGTAAAAATCTCGGTATACAACCATTTCTATTTTTTTTTTTATATTTTCAAAACTTTACCTCTCTGAAAAAAAACAACTTTTTATCTAAATAGGATAATAAAATATTCTAAACCGTACCAAATGCTTTCAGATAATGATGTTGTCACTTTATTTGCCTAAAGAAAAATCAATTATTTTTCAAACATACCTTTGAAATTCATACTTGTAGAATTGGAAACTTCAGTATATAAAAAAAAAAGTTTCTATCATAATGTGCATTTTCGTCATACTAGATAGTAATATGACTAAAACAATACACATTTTCTCATTTTACGGTAGTTTCATGTACAATCTGATTAAAATAAGATCCTTTGATCCGCTCGCATAGATCGCTACACCTTAAAATAAGATCCTTTGATCCGCTCAAATAGATCTCTACACCCTTGTGTAGCGATCTATGTGAGCGGATCAAAGGATCTTATTTTAATCAGATTATTTCATGTAGTCTCATAAAACATAAAGATACTGAAATCATAAATGTCTCTGCATGCCGTAATTTTTATTTATTTCTGATTTTATTTCTCTCTTACAGGCAAAGTCGTTTTGAGTCTTGAATTTGTTTCTGTTCTCTTCTTGGTCAAAAATTTTCCTCAAAATATGTGCAAACCTTAGGATTTTTACAACAACAACATCAAAAGAACAGATGTTAACTACATGTACATTGTATAAAGGTTAGCATACTCCCAAACAAATCATGATATAAGGACCTAGCTGGAAACAAGTGGTAGGGAAAAAAGGGGCTAAAATCACAGCTTACAATTACAAGATAAAAAAAAGACCCTGAAATTCATCTTCGCTAGCCAAGGGTTTCTGATACGCTACTCTCCTCATAATGCCTGAAATTCTGATGAAAAATTTCAAGGAACATACAAGTAAAAAATAAGCTCACTGCTATAGAACAAGAAAATGAGCTTGGCAGGGCATCTTAAAATTTCTGACTAGAATGCAAAGCTTAAAATTGATATTAAAATAATTGAAAATGGGGAGAGGACCTGCCTATTTTTATTTATAAGTTAGGAGCTTTGCCTCCAAGGTTAAAATCCAATGGAGGCTTTTTATATAAAGCTACATTTCATTCTTAAAATTCAGAAGAATATTGGAACTTCATCCCATGAACCCATCAGGGGATTTTCCCTGGCCCTCTTTGAATCCCCCAGCCCCCTTGCCTAAAAAAATGCATCCCCTCCTTCTGAATTCCTGAATCTGCTCCTGTAGCACCATATTCTACTTTAAATACAATCATAAACTTGTTCATGCATAGTATTCTAACTGTGATGATGTATTTCATACATGCACAAAAAATGTTTCCAATACCAGAAGCATAATTGTTAATTTTGAAGATTTTATCACTTGGAAAATGAGGGTATTTAATGCTGATTTTATCAGAGTAGAGCCTCCTTATCTTCAACCCACTGAATGGGACTGAGAAAAAACTTCCTACATATTCAAGGAATCAAGATTTCCGGGTAAAATACTTAAAGAATAAGGGGTTGAGATTTCCAAATAACTTCGACATACATATACATCATGTATATCCATGATAATTATGATATAAGCATTTCAGATACTGAAGTTCAATTGTAAATTTTATTTATCTTTACAAAATTTATCTTAAACAAGTTCCTAGTAATTTTGGAAGAATTGTTTTTAGTTTGTTAAATTGCTAAAATTCCTGCAAATAAAAAGAAAATAGGTCATTCACAGTCACATCTTTAATTTAGAAAAAAATAATACAGCATTCATAAATTTCAAATATTGTTAAACCAAATACAGTATAAGAGATTTTCACTCCCAGCTCTTGGTCACATTTAAATGTTCTAAATAGTTTTTCATTGAAATATCCTTTGGCCATTTCTTTTCTTTCTTTGCCTCCATCATTTTTTGAAATTTCTCTTGAGGTTTTCCTAATTCCTTCATGTAACCATGTTCTTCCTCCTGCAAAGTATAAATGAATAAAAAATATTGTTTCTACAAAAACAATAAGGTTAAGGAGTGAAAAAACTGTTTAAAAAATTAGTATCTGTGTAAATGTTGAATTTATATTTGACTGAAACATGAATTGTTTTCATGAATTAAAATGAGTGGAATTTGCAAGAACATGTACAGGATAAGCATATTTAAAAATTGAAGCTGTAAAACATTTCTTTTTTATTGTGCTAGATTTTATGAATGTATAAAAGTGTAGTCAATAATGTTTTAGAAAATCTTTACAATTCCAATGATTTTGTTCAAGATAAAATTACAAAAAGTATTGTACTTTATTTCTTTCCATCAACATGTACTTTTTGATAGGCCCAGTTATGTCAAATCATGTGCAGGGCGGGACAATCACAAAGAAACTGCAGAGTTAAACTTAGCACGAGAACAAACGTGGAATCAATACCATGTAAATGATATGGTAACTGTCTTATTTTTCGATTTCAAGACGATCATTAAAGCAATCGATTGGCTTGCAAAATTTGCATAAATGCCTTGTTGTAAGCCAATCCCTTGATCACATCATGAAATTGAAAAGTAAGACAGTTATACCTTAAAAACGATCAAATGTTACGATATTTACTTTACACTTGTGTCAGTTTAAAAAAAAATCAGCTGTATTTGCATAAAAAGCATTTATTTCAAAAAAAAAATCAAAATTCCTACAGATTGAAACTTATGCTGTTAAAAGAATTCTTATAATTTTATTGGTTTCCTCTCTAATAAGGCTCAGATAGCTTTTTGAATGTGTTGCAGGCAAATACTGGTAAAAGTCGTTTTTTGCTAAATGTAATGTTCAAAAAAAAGCTCAATGATATTTTCACCTGTAATATAGTTATTACTTATCGCGTAAACAGTCTGAATATTAAAAAATACACATGTTTTTTAAACAAATCTCACTGTTATTAATTTGTAATAAATAGATTAACAAGCTCGAATCTGGGGGATGTTGGGTCAGGCAAATAGTTTTGGGAAGAGGAACTATTATTATCAATTTGCACAAATATTTTTTGTTTCCTTTTTTTTTATTTAAAAGTTATGCTTCATACCTGACACCGCCCTTCCCCAGTCTTTTTTTTTACGATTAATTTTTCATAGATTTATTAATACAAGTAAAGATCTAGAGTGCATCATAAAGAAATCTGAGATCATAGACTTTACTGAATACATGTAGATCATACGGCATCTGTGTATTTTGATGTCGATCTTTGCTCAAAGCAACTTGGCCTTTTTTCTTGAATTGGGCCAAGACAACCATTGCCCAATATATTGAATATAAGATATGGTTTTAAGACATTATGCAAATTTGGGAGTGCCGATGTTTTAGGTCAGACCATAGGATTGTTTTCTTATCACACATGCATCTTTATTCGAATAGTCTTATCGGATCAGCGGTCAGATAGTCCTGTCTTGATAATCCCTCTGATTAACAACGATCTACAACAAGGAGGAGGATTTTCCTTCTTCAGACTACTTTGGATTTAGTACTTCATGGTATAACGACAGACGAGTCATCAGACTCACGTCGACGTTTTCAATGCATTTTGCGCTAACCCCCTCCCCCATTTTTTCTGCTTTTTCGACCATTATTTAAATTCATTTTATATCTATAGACAAGAGAGACGAGAGTCTTGCATGTATTTTCATTGAATTTTTTAAAAAAAAAAGTGGGAATAAAAAGTAAAATCATGTCATCCAGAAAGGCAATTTTTCGTTATTTCATTTTTCTGCTTCGTGCTTTACAATCATATGCGAAAATTGCAAGAAAATTAAATATTATGCAAATTATTGTTTTAATTAAAAAGTATATATTCATAGCATAGGCGTAGTCACAGGGGGGGGGGGGGGGGCAGCGGGGGCACAAACCCCCCCACATTCAGATATGGGGGGGGCAAGAGTATGTCTGTGCCCCCCCCCCACTTTTTAATGAAGAACAAAATAACAGCTATTTTGAAAAAATATCAATATTTAGTTGTTTAATAAAAACAGCAACAAAAGTTGTTTAATAAAAGTGTGTAGAAAAATTGGAATTGAAAGTAACATGCCTTTGAAAAAAAAGTTGGCTACTACCCCCCCCCCCCCCCCCCCCCCCCCCCCCGAAATAGGATTTTGGAGTTCGGGGAACTTTCAATCTTTTTTTTTTTTTTTTTTGCTTGTCAAAAAATTTCTGGACTTGAATCCCCCCCCCCCCCCACGAAATAGGATTTTCGAGTTTAGGGAACTTTCAATTTTTTTTTTTTTTTTTTTTGCTTGTCAAAGAATTTCTGGACTTGATTGAGCCCCCCCCCCCACACTTTTAAGTTTGTGACTACGCCTCTGCATCCTCGGCTGACTCCGCTACGCTCCATTCAAACCTCGGATGTGATAGGTGGAGGAATACGCAAAAGATCGCTACATTTATCCGCCGGAAACTGCCTTGTCACTCATTTCATATTTCGCTCTGCCTAGAGTTCTTAGAAAAGGTTTCTTTATTAGTGTAATTCCTCGTATTAATTACAATCAAGTGTTAGTATTCTTTTAAAGCAAGAACACAGTGTTGGGCGTGCATCAAAGTAACTCGGATTTCAAAAGTATAATATTTGAATGAAATTCAAATAAGATCACATGACTGAATCAGCAAGATGGAAGATCACCGTTGACGTCCGAGGTTATGTGCGAGGTACGAGTCATCCGAGGAACTCCGATTGACCTAAAGGTAAAATTCTAGTTTTGGTACGAGTTAATATTTTCCTTCCTCACAAACAAGATGGCTGCGCCCTTGCTGCGGTGGTTGTTTTTACGACCGAATGTCATCACAAGGAATGCCTTTCTGGCGGTATCTCTTAAAAACAACAATGATGGTGAATTCATTTTTACTAAAAAAAAGTTTTTTTTCGAAATGCATCGTACACTTATTCCAATCATTTGTCATGACTTCAAGTTTTGTAAAAGTAATGTCCAGTCCAGCACAATCTCTTGATTAAGCTATATACAGCTTTAAACAGCTATACAGCTTTATTTAGCTATTTAAAATAGCTTAATAAAGCTATTAATATGCAGTTTTTCACAAAAACGTTTCTTGTAAGAAATAAAAAATAAGTCACAAGTAATTGACTTTTCATATATGTACTATTCGCTATCAAAAACACAACCCAAATCATAAAAAGTTCTAACATTGCAGCTGTTGAATACTTGTAAGGTAAAGATGAATTTCCATTGTTTGATTAACTGTGCATTATCTTGGGTTCGGTGAGGGTTGGATAATTCTGATTGGTTCTTTTTGTGTTGAACTGTTACTAATCAATTATCCTGTTGGCCATAAATGACCTCCTTTTTAATTTCATTCAAGAAATAACTGTGTGGTCACTCTTCAATAGCCCCAAAACTTTTAATAGCTTAATAAAGCTATGTAGCTAAATTGTGCTATATAGCTTAATTAAGAAATTGTGCGGGACCTGATGTCAACCTTTCTTGGATAGATAGAGCCACAGGCACCTGTCTGCACTTCACAGTAAGCATTGTAGAAGATATTTATATTTTTCGTTTTATTGTTATTTTACTTAGCTCCTTGTCGTTTCTTGAGGAATTCTAAAAGTCTACCTCCTTTTCTGAAAGAACAAGTCAAAAGAAGAGAAGAAATTGGTCCAGAGCCTATTAGACATCCATCAGAATATGGTTGCTGGTAAGGAACAAGCAGTGAACCATTTTTCTTTCATGTTTACTTTCACAGTTTTTGCTTTCTTCTCATTCTATTAAATCTCATAAGGTTTTGTTACTAATAATGTTTATTTAGCATATTCGTTTTTTTTTTGTCTCTTTTCATGCACAAGTCCAAAATCATTACATTTCAAGATTAGTCAGTTTAGTTTTTAGAATGAGAGAATTGTGTTGAAAATATAGAAAGGATCTTGTTTATTTTCAACATTTGGAACTTCTCTTGAAACTGAAAATAGTATCACTTCAATTATTTTTAAGAAGTAAAGTAGTATGCTTTTACAATTTCAGTTTGAGATTGTTTTAATCTTACATTAAAGGGATAAAAAAAATACTGCAAACAGGGAATTTTTCTGCTTTATCTACTGGTTAAATATTGAAATGCTTCGTTCACTCTGGGAAGCGTAGGAATTTATACGCAATTTCAGCATAATGAATGAAACATATACATAAACTCACAAAGACACATGAAAATAATCCATTGTATAATTGATTTATATAGAAAGTCTGCTTTTAGGAATTATGATGCTGAGCTCTTTGCATTTGGCAAAAGGATTGGGGAGGAGTTTGATAGTGAAACGCTGGAGGAAGCTTTCACGGTCAAGTAAGTCCAAAGCAGCACCCTCCTTTTTGAAAATTGGTAAAAAATTAAGAAGTAACCAGCCCCTCACCCCTACCCTCCTACTCCCAAATATTAAATTTTCCAATATGAGACTCTAGTCCAGCAAGTAATGAGATATTTGTAAAATTAATTATATCATGTATAGATACATGCAGTTTGATTGATATTATGATTATGCTACAGATCATCCATTGAGAAGGAAATCGAGGAAAGAGAAAAAGTTGGAGTAGCAACAGAAGTTTTGGGGGCCAGATTTAATGAGGAGCTGTCAAGTGAAGGTACAATCATAGACATTTGTTAGTAAATTTTGTGTTTATCTATAACTGATACAGAGTTATGTTTCTGTTTGGGATTGGAACCTGAAATCTCTGGCACAACAGTTCAGTGCTGTGCTGATCAAGCAAAACCCACCAGCTCAAGCTACTAGGAAGTCAGTCTTTTTACCATGACAGTGTCTTCCTTTCAATAAAAAGTATCTAGCTTGCGGAATATCAGGATAG